CACAAGGATGACACGTCTTAGCTTGGTCTGCATAGAACCTTGGCATCTAAGGCACCTGCCCATACCCTCTTGAAGGCCTTACGTGGCTCTCGCCCCCAAAGCCCGCCTTGGAGCCGCTTCCTTGGCGGGTGGGGAGCCACGACTTCAACCCAGGCATGCGTGCTTTGCACACAAAAGCCGATCCGACTTGTAGTTTGCGCTGGCTTCTGAGATTCTTGCATTCACAGGGAAAAAGTGGGGGCAGCTGACAACCGGCGAGAATGTGCTCAGCCTACTTGGGCTTCAATGTTAGGTTGAAGGGGAATAAAAACATGACGAGGCTCCGAACATTTGCGCCGCTTTCGGCGTTAGAAGTAAACATCTTGCACGCCAGTGACGGCCAAATATGTTTTTGCTTCTACGCCATGCTGTGAGGGCTCATGACCTTCATATGCCATCAGCATCTATATAGGACTCAACTGTGTGCTTTGCTTGCAGCATTGCATCTCGATTGTTCAAGGCAAGGTGGTCCAAAGCCCTGTCCCAGGTGCCCATTCAATTCCTGACGGGTCGCTGTTCAATGCATTCCATGCCTCAAAGCTCAGCTTTTGCGAGGGCGGCAAGGGCGCATGCAAATTCCAGTGCAGCATCACCTTGGCGAAAATTGGCAGGAAAGTCATCTCACGAAAGCACACCGCAGCAATATCATGATCAATGGGTTTTCCGCACAAAGATCTCTCACGGCAACTTTGGGCTACCTTCTTTGGGCTCAGGTCTAGTGCCACCGCTTTTGGAAGGGCCAATTGTCGACAGCGCCCTGAGTTAGGCAGCCACTAAGGGCCCCGGCGGTGGAGAAAAAGAGCTGGTGCAGACTGTTGATCGACGGAAGGAGCCTCAGCCGGCTTGGGCCTCTTGCGAATGAGCATTGCTTGGCATGGGGGGCAGGGGCCCAAGGGACTCCGTGCCCGGGTCATGGGCTGTGCCAACCCGGCTTCCCTCGGGGAAGAAGCCGTAGGCCGACTGCTGCTGAAAAATGCACAGACCCACACAAATGCTCATGTGTGGTAGCACTGCGCGGGCGTTCCACCCTGTTACGCAAGGAAAATAATCAAACAAACAAACAAACAAACAAACAAACAAACAAACAAACAAACAAACAAACAAACAAACAAACAAACAAACAACATATCTCCATGTTAAAGGGTGCATCTAACTTAAAACTTACGGACACCTGGGTTCTGTAACCCCCCGAGGGTTTCAGTATTCATCACAAGATAAATCGCCCAACAAAGTCGCTAAAGTCTAACTTGCTGTGAATTGAATGGAAAACCCTTGAGTTCAACCAACAAGTGAAAGTCCAAAGATCCCACCCAATGGCATCAAGCACCGGCTTTTCGAGGGTTCTTCCGAGCGTCTGCCGTAGGCTGGGTCCCCGGATCTCCTCCGAAGAACAAACCTCCACAGCCGCGGCCAGGTTGTCAGGCAGCTCCTGGCGGCGATGGGGAGCCAAGGTCCCTCCTGTGTTTCTGTTCAACGTGAAAAAACACCTTTTCTGCTTGAATGACGTGCAGGGGTGTTGCGGCAGAGCCAAACACCAAAGAAGCATCACTCAAGTTCCAAATGCCAGTTTTTGGTCTCGTCCTTGTCTGAGTCGTCCTTGGGGCTCTCCTTTCGCTTCAGTCCCAGCCGCGCAGCTCTCAGCTGCTGCCGCCACCAAACCTCCAAGCGCAGCGAGTGTCAACGCAGCCCAAACCCAAACTCAGCGCAGTGTTGGATGCAGGCCATGCTAAAACTGCTTGCACAACATGCCTCCTGAGAGGTTTCGAAACAGATTTGCTGATTGGGCACAGCACTGACAGAGCTTGGCTCGGGTGGCTAGCCCCAAGTTTTTCACCCCAGCCCCCAGCCCCGTGCTGAGACAGCCGCGCGCCTCAGAGAGACTTCCCAGGAGGCGATGCAACTTTTGTAGGTCTTGCGGAACTTTCAGCCCAGCCAGGCCTCACAAGGCTTGCGATCACCTTCTGACCTTGCAAGCTCTTGCGAGCGTAATGTGGGTGTGGGTCAAAAATAGGGTAATCCCAAAACGGAACCCTGGAAAAGGAAACAAGGACTAAACCTGCAGTCCCCTGGTGGTAACCATTTTGACCCATACCCATGTGGCACATGCGTGTTAAACCTGTCCAACTATAAGCTTGCTTTGCACAATGGCTGTCCGCGCTAGGAAAACTGTTTAAAGCGGCATTGGGTCAGTGACAAAGCTGCAGGCAGAATGCAACTGGCCTGTCCGCAAGGCCGACACAATGCCAGTGTCCACCAGACATACCTGACGCATCAGGGTCAACATCTTGCTGATACTTCGGGATGTCGGATATCACTATTGTCCCGAAAGCTGCTTTCAACCTTTAAAAGAACAGCTTTCAACTGTCAAACACCGTTTGGCTGGATTTGACCTGCAGTCTACAGCACCGCATGCTAGACTCTCATTTGGTACATAGGGCTGCCTACCAAACTGTCCAACCACAGCGAAATGCTTGGACATGGAAACCTTGTGCTCCAAACTCCTCGCGCAGCCGTGCGGCTGAATTCAAGAACTCCATCCTGAGGATCTTGGACAAGGAGAAGTCCTCGCTGGGCACCCGGCAATCGAATCACATCAGCAGCAAACCAAGTCTTGCGATTTAGCTCTCGAATTCCTGTCGCTCCGGGCTGGGACCCTACCCTCAGCCTACCCTTCACCAGGCTGCTCAGATCCCTGATCAGCTTTCGGCACGGAATGAGCCAGTGGCAGAGCCATGAGTTGCAGATTTGAAGCGGGCCCAAGCCACAAGTTGCTCAAGCCTGCTTGGGGCTGCGAACACCATTGTTCGAACCAAAGACGAAAGATGGTTGAAGGCAACCTTCAAAGCAGTTCGTGGCGGCCAGGCCTCATAAGAAAGGCTTCAACCCACCCTGAGTGAGGCCACCCTGTCCTCACCCAGAAATGTGCCCACTTGCAACGGACTCAGCTTTGCCGTCCGCATGAAGCCCACCAGGTCTATTGGGTAGTCCCGCACGCACCCAGAGACGACCAGAAAGGCCTTAGTGGAATCTGGCTGACAGGCATTGTGCCACAGGAATGAATGCTGATGTCCAGAAAGACATCAACTGCTGGAAGTAAGTTGGAACAAATGGGCCTGCAGAAGGAAAAAAAAGGCGTCTATCTCAAGTTAAGGCCACAACTTCCCCCTGCAGCCAAAGCAAGATCGCCACAATGGCCAAAACAAATAGCATCACAACACCCGCTGGGCTCAATCCAATGGAAGCCATGATTGATGGCGTTGGAATCTGCAGTGGCTGAAGTGCCTGCAAACACGGAAGCTTGGCTTAGAACCCTCATTCTTGAGTCGCTGCACAATTGGCAGTCTTGGCGTGCATCAGGTATACCACAGGAGGGTTGCCTACCCTCAACGGGTATGGAGAAAGTCGCACAAACTCGAGCGCCAAGCACGTCGTAGGAATCCACTTGCCATCATCCTTTTTCATAGGCAGGTGTACGGACCTCTCAAGCTAGCAACGTCTTGACTTGCTGGTTCCGGGCAGTGAATGAGGCAATGACCCGAAAAATCCATCCCCTATGGCTGCCCTATGGTTTCCCTAAAGGGAAGCCCCAGGTTCATTCCTACCCTTGGTCATCCCTGAGCACAAGCTATGGAGCCAAGCCGCTAGGCCTCTCCCTGGCTGTCCCTCGAAGATTTGGCAGCCCAAATATGCGCAGAGCTCCACCATCCTGGGATAACCGGCCCACGTGCAACCACCCCGTCTCAGCCAGAGACCTACCCCCAAACCCGGCTTGTGACTGCATTCTATGTCTGATGCGGGAATTCAATTCCACCCACCAGAGGACGGAAAAGTGAATCACAGAAGCTGACAAATTTTGGACAACTGGATAAACAAGTCAACCGCTCTGCGACAGTCAGCACCCCCTGCCACATTACAGCAACACTGCCTGGAGAAACCCAGACTGAATTACATGCGCTCAACTTTCAAGCTGACAATTGGAGTTCCAAGAGGGCAACTGGATTCTTGACACCAAGAGTCTAATCTCATCCACGCCGGATCTGAGTCTGGCACATATGGTGGCAACATCACGTTCAAAAGTAGGTGCTGGCTTATCCACGTCCCAATTACGCCACAGCTGAGATGCTCCAGTTCCAGATCCTCGTCAGGGATGAGCGGAGCCCGCGGCACAAAGAAGGGCTCGAAGCCTTAGACGCGCCGACCAAACCCTGTGCTGGCGTGCGGCAGTCAGGCGAGTCGCAATCAAAGCCCGGTACAAAAATGGTCGTATTCCCAGAACCACGCTTCAAGAACTAAGGCGGATATCCGCAGCTTTTTATGGCTGGGATCGTCGCTTACCTTCACTTACCCGGGTTTTGATTGTGGCTCAGGTTCAGCCCAAGCCCTGCACGTATCTCCCTGGAGGGCGAAGTCAGGCAGGATTTGGGCATCGCTCCACCTGGCCAAAGGATGCCAAAGGCTTTAGATTCTACTGCTGCTGCGGGCAAGCCCAACTGCGACTCTCCTAATGTATCAAATGCATGCTGGTTGGTGCTGGCAACTTGGAGGGGGCATGTAGCGACAAAGCACTTTGTGCCGTCGCCCCAGCATGGCAAACGTGCCCAAACTGTCACAAGCCTGCCTGCCTGCAGAGCAACGAAGATTGCAAGGGCTTCCTTTGGCCAACAGAAGTTGTACAGCAAGGTATGTTGGGACACGCGACGCCAGAGTTTCAACGGGGAATGACTGACAGCTTAATTACTAAATTACACATTGCCACAGGGCTGGCACAATCAGGATTTGAAGGCGCTTTTCATTACTAGCTGAAGCTATCCCTGACTAAGGAATCGCGTTCGTTCCTCCTGTTTCTCCTTGACACTCCATCCCAGTGCACGCGTTCTATTCCAGAACCTGTCTACAGCATGCCGCTTACAAAAATGCATCTCTGGCCAAGGGCATGAAGACAGAGCCAAACTAGGTCCAAATGGGAAAGGGTAGGTGCTGAAACTCGGTTTTCCCCAATTTATGCAAAGTGCAGGCGCCACGCGGGAGGAGCCATCATGCAAAAAGGCCCCCCCACAAGCACCAAAAGCAACCAGCTAAATTGCGGCGGGTTCAGGTGAACAACAAACGCACCACAGGCCATCCGCCTCCCCCAAAGACCAGTGGTGGCTCACGTCAGGTCCCGCCTTCCACCTGCAGGCCGTTCACGATGCTTTCCAGGCTGTCGGAGGTAGCCACACCGCCAAAGACCCTGGCATTTGCAAGCGCAGGAAGGGGCAAGGACAACATCTGCCGGACCGCCCTGAAAAGATGTTTCTGCGGGCGATGCGGTTGGCAGGGCTCCTCCGGGTTCCGGAAATGAATTCGATTGACCTTGAAAGATTCACGTTTGTCATCGGCCTACATGGCATCACAAGCTGCTTGGGGATTAAGCTCGACTGAGCAGGCAATTCATCTGCATGCCTGCCCGCACACAAGACCTCAACTCATGCCACAAAAGGGTCAGGGCAAAAGGCATTCTGAACAAGGTAGGCTTGGCAAACAACATGCTTGTCATGGGCTTGCCCCATTCTCGCGATCCGTGCAAACACGCCGACACGATTTAACAAGCTGGAACAAAAGTCTGAAATCAGGCGCGAATGATGGTAAGGGCAACATCATGCAAAAGCAATGGCAACCTGGCTGCTCCTTAGATTCAAGCTTGGCTCAGCAACATCGCGGAAGAAATTGGGCCTTTAGCATAACAAGGTACCGTCAGCCGGCCGATGATACCTACAAGTGCTACAAATTACCCTGAAGCTTCGAAGCAAGCAAGCGCGCGCGCCTGTCATCCGGCATCTCCAGACTGGCGCCTTTGCCAAAGTGAACATGTCCATATCTTGAAAGGTCAAGGAACCCCAGAACAAGGACCCTACATCTTGGGTCCCTTTGGCTCCCCGGCCCGGTGAGATGGGAGTGGCTCCAAAATTATGGGCTAGGGCTACGCAGGTTTTAGTCATTTGCCAAGGTTTTTGAGCCACAGCCAGATCGTCAGGATTTGTCCAACCGTCATGTGTAACAGTGTTTCGGCTGCTCCCCTGGTGGCCAGGGAGGCAATCAATGTGCAATTTCGCGGCTTTTGGACTTCTGAGGTTACGTCTAGAGGAACTCTGTCCCAACTTAAGCCGTTTCACACCTTCCGCCGGTATCACAAGATTGCTTGGCCTAATTTGAGCCTTTGTTCATCCAAAGCTCCTTTGTGGCTTTGCATGAACACCACTGGTCGTGCCCTCAGCTTCCCAACAAGCGGAGCAGCCTGAAATGGCCCTAGTCTCAAGCATCAGTTGGCGTGTGTCCGAAAGCCTCGCAACAGTTGTTGCAAGCCCTGCATACACTTCCGTACTGGCAGGAAGAGCAAGGAGGCACGACGTTGGCCGTTCACCAGCACATGACACCGATGCCTAAATACAATTTCTTAACTTAGAGTAGTTCTTGCCCTGCGCCCATACGGAAGAAACAACAACCCGTATATTGAAGCAACAGCCTGAATGGTAAACCACTGCAAACCATGCCGTCCTTGTATCAACAGCATCTTAGCAGCACTGACAAACTCAATTGCATGCCCTTGATCCGCAAAGACCAACACAAGCACATCCTTCCCGCCTAATCTGTAGTCAGTGGGGTGCAGGGCTATGGTCTCCCGCATCTCTTTCTGCAGGAGCCGCCTGGTTGCTACATCCTTGGTCGCGTGTGTGGTCTCCTGTCGCTTCGTTTCTCCGTGCACTTTTGACTGTAGATGGAAGATTGGCTGATGCTGGGAACAAGGCGCGCAAACCAGAAAGTGCTTTGTAAGGCAGGCATGCGCTGAGGTAGATCCCTAGCAGCGCTCGAAGGCGCGCCATGCCCCGAAAAGGCAGGCACCAGGAGGCAAAATGGCTGCGGGTCAAATCCAATGGTACCATTTTGGGGTAGGTGCACCACCCATTTTAGTCTATTGGGATGTTCACTGGGGTACGGGATTTTGACCCACGGCCAAATATTTGGAGCAGGGCCAACGTCCACCAGGGTCCCTTGCCAAGCATCTGAGCAAAGCTCCACCGCCAGCTGCCCTTTGGTGGTACGGCTGTGCACATGGGCGCCATTGCGCAAGAGGACCTCGGAAGATCAAAGATCAAAAGTAACGGAACAACTGCGCATCCAAAGCCCAGGCCTGGGCACCTGAGGGTCTTTGAGTCAGGTGGCCAATTTGCGCTAGTTGGCCATGGGTCAAAACCCAAATCGTACCCCCAATCCCACTAAAATAGGTTCTAAAATGGGTGGTGCACCTATCCCAAAATGGTACCAAAACGGTTTTGACCCATGGCCAGTTGCGCGGAATGGCCCCAGAACTCCATGGAGCTTCACCCTTGGCCCCCGCGCGCTCACCACATCCTGGCGCCCCATGAAGGCCGCCACGTGCAATGCCGTCCACCCCGCCTACGTGAATCCGAGTGCACCCCCGGCCCGCAGGAGGCAACTCGTGAAGGTTTATTGTAGGCAAACCTCCCACAGCCGCCTTTCTGGGCTTGACTTGGGCCAATTTGGACCGGAACTGAGCACTCAACGCATTGTGCTTCTTGATTTCCCCTTCCTCCAGTATTTTAATGAGATGCTTCCACCCTGAGGAAAGCAGGTACGCCTACCTGACAACCCCGAGCTGCCTCATTGCCTCAAAGCACCTAGATTCTCATTGCGGCTTGCTGGCCCGACATGATCATCGAAGGGGTCGACATGCTTCCCTGCCACTAATTTTGTTTCCCTGGTTTTGCCTCACTAAGCAACAGCCAGCCTCGGCAGGAAACGTTTCAGTGCCTCACACCGCCGGCTCCAGAAAATCGACTGCAGTGCCTGCCTCATCTCGTACCTCGGGGCCTCTTTTGGACCTTTCCTCAGCTGGCGGGAGAGAAGCACCTAAAAGCTTCAACTTCCAGCTTCTTGGAGACTCACTTTGCGGGAAAAATGCCACTTGGCTAAATTTCAACAGGTCACATAATTAAGCGAGATTGAGGCCACTTAGGATGCAGAAGCGCCACTTGGAAGCAAATGGTTCCTGGCTACCCTTGAGGAGTGCACATTTGAGCCCAATCTATGTAAACTGGACACAGTTGATGACAAGCAAGTGGCGACACTCAAATGAACGAAGCAAGTGGCCTCTTCGGGACCTAAGTCTTCGTGACCTCGATTCGCCTCCGTGCGACACTCGAATGACACTCACATTTGAAGAATAATGCTTAAACCGCTGCCTGCGCTTCAGTTGGCCATGCTTTTGCACTTCAGCTGTTTCCACAGGTTCTGATGTGTCTGTTTCTTTCTGTTCTTGGAACTGCTCTCATAGTACTTCAGGACTGTGTAGCCCTTGGGAACTAGTTCATGGCTTGAGTAAAGCATTCTTAAGGAAAGCAGGAACAAGGGCTGCCACAACGACACAACTACATCCACAATGGGTTCAAGTGTGGTTGTGCACGCGCAGTTCTCCAACTCTGCGCCCTACCCCCTCACTGTTGCGCTCCTCCCGTTCCACTTGCCCCGAGCCGCCGAAGCTTCTTCCACGGCTTGTGCGCAGCTTCCTTCCGGCACGCTGTGCGAGGCGCATGCCCAGAACGAAGTCCCCCCAACGATCAAACCTGTGAAGAGGGCAAGGGCCAGCACATTCTTGAGAGCTCCCAAGTTCACCCCGCTGCATTCGTTCTTGGGCACCAGGGCTCTGCTGGAACATGGTGGCCTCCCCTGGTCTTCACAGCATGACGGCACCCAACGCGCGAAAGAAGAACCACTATGGCAAAGCTTAAACGGTGACAGTGGCAATAAGCTCTATTCCTGATTCTTGCCTTCCCTAGCTCAATCTTCAAGCTCCATCCTCTCCCTCCTGCCTACCTCACGCACACACAAATCTTTTCACAACACATACCGAGTTGAAAGGAGTTCTAGCTCGGAACGTGGAGGTGAAGCAGGTATCTTTCCCGTCCAAATGCTCGTTTCACGTATATATGTGGCACCGGTCTCCTCCATCCTCCTCCAAAAGCACCAGAACTTCCACAATGCTGCAGGAGCCGCTTCGGCAGGACGCGTGGAGGCAAGTGGTGCCTTTTTGGTCCTGAGTGAACGAGGCTGATCAGTTTCAAGGTCTTCACCCAGCGCGCGTTTGCCAGCAAGGCATTGGATCCAGCGTCACACTTGCAATTGTCCTTAGCAGTGGTCAATGAAGTTTTCCTGGTCTATGTTATGCGTCGCCTCAAGCCCTAACTGGGCCGACATGGTGATGTGACGCGGCTAGACCTCTTTTTGTGTCGGACTCCAGCCTTGAGCAGGTGTATTTGTCTGAATCTAGTGGGCATTCGCCAAAAGTCATCAGGGTCAGCACGGCATGCTCACATGGCTGGCAAGAGGGCTTCCAGGCCAAATCGTTGAAGCTTTGTGGGGAAACCTCGGCCATGCACGATTTCCCCTTGTACCCGCGACCCTTTTTGCACGCCCACCTTCCGAACATCGGGATGGGAATTGGCATATATGGAAGTAGCCAAGCCGAGAGCGTTGGAACGAGGGCATCCGAATGCATCCGAGTCTCAGTCACTCTGCGATTTGCTCCCAGGACCAGAAGCCACCGCACCGCTGCCAAGTTGCTTGAAGCACCTCAGCTCTGAGTTAGGAATGGATCTTGGATCTTGGCCCCGCCAGGTAATGAAGCACCACCCTTTTCTTACAAAAGCAAGCCAAGATGCCAAGAGGCGTCCCGAAGACTAGTCGTTTCATACAGCTCATGTGTGCCCACAAGATCCTAGCCCCACTTTTCCACGTAAGCTGCTTCTACAATCCTGGTGATGGCATGGAGCTTATAAACCAGCATAACATGTTCAGCAACCAATGTTCTGCGACAGCCGCACGGCTAGCATGCTTAGCCTCAGGGCCCGTAACCAGCGCCGCGACTAGAAGAAACCAGCAACGCTCCTTTGCTGTGCCCTGGGCT